TAAAAAACATTTTCCTCTTAGGAGCTCCAAGTGTGTTACAGAGAGCATGTTATACTCATTTATGCTATGAAGTAAAAGAGCTACACCATTTAATACTTAATAGTATGTCAAACAGATTTCTTCACAAATTATTGGTTCTTATCCTCTAGTAATTGCAACAGTGGCTCTCCATTTCCTAGAGGATGAAGACTACACACAGAAGACACTTCCAACTAAGGCCCTGCCTACACTTCTACCATCCCTCCACTGTGGTCATACACGACCGTCACTAATGGACTAGTGCGCCATGCTATCTCGTACCTCCCTGCCCTTGTGCATATAGCTACCTCCACCTGGGAAGCCCTCTACCTCCTGAAAAATCCCTCCTCGTTCTTCAGGTGCTACCTTGAATGTCACCTCCGCAGTGCAGCCTTTGCAAATCCCCTAATGCAGTGATTCTCAAGCTTTAGTGGCACCAGAATGCCCTGGAGGGCTTCTTAAAACACAGGCTGTTGTTGGTCCCCACCCTCCGCAGCTCTATTTCAGGAGGCCTGATGAAGCCTCGAATGTGCATTTCCAACAAGTTCCCAGGTGATGCTGCTGCTATGATGAAAGCACAACTGCCCTACAGAGGAGACAGTACACCCTTAAGCCCCTTGCTCCTTCACCATCCTGCACACTCCCACTGCAGACTGGGTGCTCCTCAAGGACAGGGAACAAGGCAGCACCCCATACATGGCTGCTAAACCGATGGATGGATGGATGGATGGATGGATGGATGGATGGATGGAGATGGATGGATGGATGGATGGATGGATGGGTGGATGGATGGATGGATGGATGGATGGATGGATGGATGGACAGACGGACAAGCAGACTGACAAATAAATGGGTTAGACTGGATTTATTTACATAGCTTTCCCATCCAGGTTCAGGGCCTCATAAATGCTCACACCCACCCTCCCCCACCCCCAAAATACCTTCAAAACATCCCTTGTAACAGATCTGCACTGTACAGATAGGGTAAAAAGAAATTCAAGGAGAATTCTGACCTGTGTCAAAGGAGTTTTGAGTTGTGATGTAGCACCCTTTCTGCTGCCCTGACTCCCCTCGGGCTGGTCACCAGGCGGCATTTAAAGAGTCACGACAGAATGCTCCCGAGTGACCCCTCGCAGAATCCTAAGCCGCCCGAGCACTCCCTCCTTTTACATGCACACACAGGATGGATTTCATTTACAGAAGTAGATGAATGTGGCCAGGGAAATGGAGGAAGAAGAGTCCAGCCTCACACAAGCAGGGAAGGGCAGCAGCCCAGGTGGGGAAGACCCCATCTGAAAAGTACTAATTTCCAAGCCGGAGCATCTGAGCTCCAAGAGGCCATGGGGTGCCCCTCATTGAGGCAGGTGGGCAAGGGCACAGAGGAAAGGACTCAAGCCCACAGGAGGATGAGAAGCACACATTCAGAAGACAATGAGGCCAGCAAACATCAGCTGGAACGCAGGGGGGGCGGGGGGACAGGAGGAATGGCAGTCAGCTGCTGAGCTGGCAGCACAGGGCAGCGTGGGGGTGAAGGAAGGTCAATGCCAGCCCCAGCACTTCGCTCTGCCCTTTCAGCAGCAGGCGCAGGTTTGAGCAATGGGCTCCACTGGAGACACAGTTGGGGGGATGCAGCAAGGGACAGCAGGAGGACCAATGTCAAAAGGTCTCCATGCTGCTGGCGGTGCGAGCGCAGCTGCCCACGGCCCTAAAAACTCCTGACTCTGTAGGGCTGTTTTTCCATTAGGCCTGGGCTCACAAGAAGCTTGGGTCAAGCTGCAGCTCTGCTGAAGAGGGGAAAGTCAGCATTCCCACTCCACTGGTGTCCAGGGTCCAGACATTTCCTGAGGGAACTGCAGATTAGCCTCGGCATTAAGCTCCACTGCCTCCCTCCCCCACTCCAGAGGCCCTGCCAAAGAGGATCACAAAGCTGAGACCTCAGGACGCTGCAGAGCTGTCACATCCAATTCACCACACAGCCCCAGTGGCATTTAGGGGCAGGATGGATGGGAGCCCACTCCCACCCCAAACAGTGGGAGCAGCTAATGACTGGGTATTAATGACGCTGGCAATTAGCGCTCCGGAGAAACCGGTTGGGGGCTGTGCACCAGAGGGATGCAGGGAAACCGAGAGCACTTCTGGAGCAGCGAGCAGATGGGTGGCGTGTGTGGTGCAGGGAATCTGGGCAAAGCTGCTGTCTCTCACATTTGTCCAGAGAAACTGGGGAGGAGGCAAAGGATGGCTCCTATGGACACTGAAGGCCTCCGCCCCTCCCCAGTAGCAAAACTGAGATTAATCACAAAGCAAGCAGTGAGAAATCATTAAAAAGTGTTTGTGAAGGTTCTGGAACCTTCCTTTGTGTGAGGAGGCCCCGGAGGAGCCCAGGTACAGTTATTCCTCTCTCTGCATTTTAAATCCCTTGAGCAAGTCCAATGATCCTTTTTGAAGAACCCAGTTCCTCGCCAACAAGGGGAGAAGAGCAGTGGAGAGCGGGCTGGAGTGAGTGCGCCCACTGTTAAACCCACAGAGAGAGAGGGGAGAACAAGCTTCGGGATGAGATTAGAAGGGTGTCTCCACCTACAAGGAAGAAAGACACAGCTTCCTGGCCAAAGTCCTCTGGCCTCCGGGTGAGGACACAAGGAGGGAGAAGACACTGAACCATGAGGTTGTATGAGGAAATTCTGGGGTAGAGAGAAAAGCGTGCAAAGGCCCATCTCAGAAGTCAACAGCTGCCGGGGGGATCGCGGGAAGGGCCAGGAGCCCTCCCGATCCACGCAGGGCCTGCACTGCACCTGAGGGGCCGCAGGAGCCTCCCTGCAGTCGCCGTCACTGTGCACACACGAGAGACACGGACACAGGAGCAGTGTTCCAAACCCTTTAGTGCGAGTAGAGCACCCATACACGGGAACTAAATGGATGGCCTGACATTTCAGAAGAGATGTCAAGGAGGTGAGCCAACACTGGAAGAGTGAGAAATAAGGCCAACCTAATAAATACTTTAGAGAGAGCAACCATGGCAAATACGTCCTTTCCAGATGGCAACCCAAAACAAAAGAAATCCATCTCAGCCTCCTCCTAATAGAAGATAATGCCACACCTTGGCCACTGAGATCAGAAGGGACAAGAGGGGCAACGGGGAAAAGCACACATTTTCCTTCTCAAAGACAAGGATGCCTGCACCAAGGAGACCTCCCCAGAGAGAAGGCAGAGAGGCCTCAGCATTGCAGCTGCACAGCAGCTGGCGAGGAAAGGTGAGCAAGGCTCTGCCGGAGCCTCCCCGACACTCCTGGGTTGGTGACAACAGTTAGGTAAGAGGGCCAGGATCTCACATCAAAAGGCTTCCAGCCCTGAAAGTGAGTAAGAATTGAAGAAGGTGGCCCTGGCCAGGTGGCCCAATTGTTCGGAACATGGTCCCAATACACCAAGAAGTTGTGGGTTCGATTCCAGTCAGGGCAGGTACTAGAGGCAACCAATCAATGTTTCTCTCTCTCAAAAATCAATAAACAGATCCTCAAGTGAGGATTAAAAGCAAGAATTAAACCAGGTGTTACGGGCTGAACTGTGTCCCCCCACAAATTCATATGCTGAAGCCAGTATCTCAGCATGTGATTATTTTTGGAGGTAGGACCTTCAGAGAGGTGATTAAAGAAGAAAAGTTAGAATGAAACTGTTCCAATGGGCTCTAATCCAGTGTGACCGGTGTCTTCCTCAGACAGGAAATGGGGACAGAAAGGGAGACAGCAGGGAGGCACACACAGAGGGACACCCTGTGAAGGGGCAGTGGGAAGGCAGCCACGCGCAAGCCAAGGAGAAAAGTCTCAGCAAACCCAGCCGTGCTGGCACACTGACCCAGGACTCCGAGCCTCCAGAACTGTAAGCAAATAAATGTGTGTCCTTTAAGCCACCCACTGGGTTGTACTTTGTTACGGCAGCCTGAGCAGACGGATACAGAAGACAATGTGACAAGGGAAAAGTGGGGTGGGGGATAGGTGAAAACCCACAGTAACCCAAAGGAAGGCCCTGGTCAAGGTGTGTTAATTACTTCAAATATTTAGTGCAGGCAGCCAATCAACATGTGAGTTGATCAAGTGAAATGTACAGGAGTCACCATCAAATACTAGACTCTATATATTTTAAAAGATCTGATCCCTTTGACTACATTGAACTACTCAATTTAAGACCACCTATCACCAAATCTTATGAACAAAGCAGAAAACACACGGCATGTCCACAACCACTGTTTCCCTGCTGATCTCAGAACGCCCCACACCGGGAAGATCCTGTCCCAGTCTGAGTTCACCGCAGGCCCAGAAACCATGAGGAAAGCTGGAGGGAGCGTCAAGGTGAGCGCTAAGCCCTCTTTGGCTTCCTAACTTGTAAGTGGAGGTTGAGGAAAGCGAGCAAATAACAAAACAAATCTTAGGGGTCATTTTGGGTTTTCGAGCTCCGTATTCCAAATATCCAGCACGCCCAGACCAGGTTTGCTGACTGCGTGCTCAAAGGAAGGGCGTGCAGGCTCTGGGGCAGTGTTTCTAAGGCAGGAGAGCCTGGTGCCCAAACCGTGACCCCAGTAACAGCCAAGGCAATAAATCAGGAATGTGCTACATCTCCTGGTGGCCAATGAGACATCTGGAATATTCGTATGAGCTGACACAGCCCAGGGCTGTGCCCGACTCAGGCAGGCAGCTGTGCATGGATCGTTGGGAGCTGAGAAGAGGAGGAGCTGGTCTGGCATTTGACAAGGGCAGGTAAGGATATTTCCCTTCTGCATTAACGCCCCTCCTCCCTCCCTCCGAGAGCGGAGCTCACTGTAAGCCTGGAACTCAGCTGCCCCACAGAGGCCGCTGGGTTGAAAGAGCCAACCCACTATAGGACGTTGAGACAATTCAACGATCACTACCAGCAGATGCCACAGGTGACAAAAGGAACGTTCCACAGCCCTGCCCACCACCCACTTCACAACTGCCCAACAACCAGGAACTCACGTCTGTGGTTCTCATTTCTGTGGTTGGGTGGGGACCGGGTCTCCTGGTCTTGGGCTTCATCCCCCTCCTCACTGGCCAGGTGAGTGTGAGCGTAGTGGTAGCTGAGTCCTGGCCGGTTCTTGTAGCGCTTGCCACAGACTAGAGAGGAAAAGAGAAAAGGGGGAAAACAAAGGTCAGCAACCTCTGTAGCCACTGCCATCATTCCCTGAGGCAGTGACTCCCAGCTATCCATCCCAAAGCTGGGTTTCCTCTCAACAGTATTTCCCAACCCCAATACCTTGCATCCTGGACTGAACCAACACCACTGTAACAACATGGGCCCACGAAAGTAGAAGACGTAAGTTGTGACAGAGCTCCCTCATTTCCTAGCTGTACATCCCCAGGCAAGTCACTTACCCTCTCTGTGCCTCAGTTTCCACAGAGAAAAAAATGGAATAATAGTACTCACCTCATGGAGTTGTTGGTGATGAGTAAACCGCCATACAAAGCATCAGAACAATGCTGGGACACAATAATGGTGATGATGATTTTAACTTTGAGGTCTGGACAGGAAGTCTATCTGGTCCAACACCTCACGGCACAGATGAGGCAAGCAAGGCCCAGCGAGGCTAAGTGGATTGCCTGGGAACACTCTGCTGGCTGTGGCAGAGCCGCCGTACGCAGGTCTCCTGGGTTCCCGTGCGGTACTGCACCCACCACCCTGTGGCTGCCTCTGCACTGTGCGTCTGTAGGTGTGCTGACTACCAAAACTGAACCCAGGGGTCTTGCTCTGTGGAACTGAACAAGACACACAATCTCTCTGTGCACTCTTGAGTTTGAAAATGATAGTACTACTTACCTTGAAGGAATTGTAAATTGTATTTTAAATTGTAAATTGTATTTTAAGCTACCTCACTCAGTCCTCAGCACAGAAAAGATGCCCCATAAATGGCAGTGGTGGGTATGAGGCTTTCCTTCAGCAAGGTCTGCTGTGCCTTTAACACTGCGCCCTCCTAAAGGAGGGCCTCTCACCCTTGCCTATACTAACAGAATCTGGTTGGGCTTCTGTAAGGTAAAATTTCAATAAGGTGAAAGCCTGAAATTCAAGCCTGTGACCTAGCGACTATAAATTCAAATCCTACACTTGGCTGCTTACATGCTCTCCCTATCCCTGTTGTAAATATTGCAAAAAAAAAAAAAATTAAATCCCAATTCCATTCGACTCAGGAAGTGGGACATAAAGAGCCCCCTGAGGCACACTCTGGGCCTGCTGTGGCTTTTTCTATTTAACCTTTTAAATGATGTGAGGTCAATAACCAGCCAAGTTATGGGGTCATTAGATGTAAGTCCATTTCATCACCAAGTACACTGTTGGTAAGGACTAGATGTTTATTAAAAATAAGAATAACACCAGTATTTAAGTGAGGAAGGCTCAGGGGCCTCAGCAGATCTCCCCACTGTAAACTCCACAGCATTTGATTTGTGCAGTTTTGTCACGTCAATTACCACTGTCTTCCTTACAGAATCTCGGGACCTCAACGGTCATTCAGTCTGGTTATCTATCAAACTGTTTTACTCCCATGAATACTGCAGAAGCCTGTCCTGGGGCAATTCAACCGACGAGGAGTTCACTACCCATCCAAGTGGGCATTTCTTCTCCGGACTCCTTGAATTAGTTATGTCTGTACTAGAGAACCTCCCTTAATGACGGTTTCACACTGATTTCATCTTGGTATCAATAACTGCACCTCACACGCAGCCCCACACACATTACACCTGCACAGTGCAGTCACTGAGTAGCTGATGAATGAACACAGAAACACTGGGAAAGCCTGGAGACTGGGGAGGAGGTCAGTGTGCTGACTCCGACCTATCCATCCACATTAATCTCACACCGACAGTCCTCGACACCTACAAAACCAAACTCGAACAAAAGTTTCCCATGCCTCCTTTCCCAACACCAGAGAGCAATTACTTCAGAGCCAAGCCTTTTGCTACAAGTGAGATTCTCAGTGTGGTCCCCAGACCAGCACCATCAGCATCACCCAGGAACTTGTAAGAAACGCAAATTCTTCGGCTCCATCCCAGAAACTTTTGGGGTGGAACCCTGCAATCTGTGTTTTAATACAGCGATGCTGATGCTGATGCACACTGAGGTTTGAAAAACACTGCTAGAATTTTGATATATTTAGGCTTGACTCTGCCCGCCCTGCACACACCTGCCCTTTTGAATGGATGGCAGGGCAGGTGAGGAGAGTGCCAGGCAGCCCTGAGACCTGTGTGCAGCTCTTAGAAGAAAAAGATGCGGGGAGCACATGGACATGCTGGAAGCCAGACACCTTTACCACGGGCCCAAGTACAGAGCTCGCCAGAAGGAGCTTCATTTTCCTCCCACCTACTTATACCATGTCATTCTTTCATCACCAGTTGTTCAAGAAACGATCTAATTTTAAGTTTTTTAATTTATTAACTACCTAGTAAGTGCCCAGCCCTGTGGCACCACAAAAAATATGTAAGTCCTGCTCCCCTCCCTCAAGGGGTTCACAGTCTAGCAGAGGAAGCCTGCATGCCAAGCAAGAAGTGAGGCAGATACAGACATCCAAGTGAGCGCATGCTCTGCACAGGGGTGTGGGCGCAGCTTCCCACAGGAGGTGGAGCGAGCCGCGGCTTGGGAGACTGAGGAGGGTTATCGCCAGGCAGACAAAGGAGGCGAGGGCTTTCAGACACCAAAGCGCGTTCCACACAGCACCTCGGGAGAACCCTGGAAAATTCAGGAGAGCGGTATGAAAAGGGACCCAAAACTGGGCGTGAGGGGGACTAACCAGAGAGGAAGCTGGGCAGGACTCCATCCTGAAAATGTGAAGTCAGGGGAGAACTTGCTCAGACTTTACATGCTAGAAACCTCGCTTAAGGCTACAGTGCACAGATGGACCTGAAGGTGGCCAGAGGCTGTTTGAATTTTTTTTTGTTTTGCCTGAGTCAAAGATATTTACTTATTCTTTTTAGCTAAACACAATCATTTCTACCTACAATGTTTTTGGAGATTTTATTTCTTTTTAGAGAGAGGGGAGAGAGGGGAAAAAGAGGGGGAGAGAAACATCAATGTGCAAGGGAAACATCAATCAGTTGCCTTTTGCACAACCCCAACCAGGGACCTGGCCTACAACCCAGGAATGCGCCCTGACCAGGAATCAAACCAGCAACCTTTTTATTTCACAGGCTGACACTCAATCCACAGAACCACACCAGCCAGGGCTACAACTATTTTTTAAAATGACAAACAGCAGGTCGACTGAAGTAACCGCACTGGCCTTGAGCTATGGAACACTGCTACCCTTTGACACCTGGCTGAAAAGCAGAGCCGTGGGTGAGGCCACAGCGGCATGAACGCAGCTAGCAGGCCTTCTCCAGGCAGGCTCGGGAGCTCCTTACACAAGGCCGGTTCCTGGTCTCCAAGTCGGACTCATTCCCCCAATAGGGGCCTTCAATAATAACCTGGTTTTGTAGACCACAGTTGCCAAGTAGTTCAATTTTAGCTTCGCTGTTTTTAACTTGGTTGCTTTTTCTAGCCAAGTCTCTCAGAATGCTTTCAACCATATAGAGTAAGTACAGAATCAAATGTGGCAAAGTCTTCTCCAGGAACCTGCCAGGTAATGGGATTCATGGGAACACCATGCTTCTTCATGCCATTCTGTCCTCGGTGACATCCACTGATGTCACTGCACGGTCTATCCTCCAATTACCTGAAACCTTCTGATCGGTTACAAGTTTTCTGAAAACTGCCCCTGCCATGGGTGACTGACAGATGCTACCAAGACACACGAGCAGGCCTGACTGAGGCACCGGCTGGGCCACCTTCCTCAAAAATACTGAGGCATCCAGTGACCAAGCAGAAACTTCTGCACAGCACATGTGCACGTGCACAAGTGTCCACATTTTAATGTTGTGTGAAACAGTAAGGATTTCAGGACAGGAGAGAGGTTAAAGAGACAGAATCTGGTGCAAAGGAGCCAGTATGAACAGCAAGGAGGAGCCCAGACAGACAGCCTTCCTGGCCTCGTGCCATCCAGCCCCACCCACCTCCCCAGCCTCACTCGATGCCACATTTCACTTCCCTCTCGGCTTTTCCCTCCCACTCACTGGCCTTTCCATTTCTTGACTATTTTTCTTTCCACCACAGAGCATTTGTACAAGCTTCTCCCTCTGCCTGCACTGTCTCCCACCCCAATTTGCCTGATTAATGCTTCATCATCCTTCCAATCCTGGTCCAAATGTCCTTCCCCAGGGAACTCTTTCCAATCAAAATTAGGGCCCCGGTTTGTTGCCTTGCTAGAACTACTCGTGTATCAGTATGTGTCTCTCTGTGCGTCTGCACGCTGTCACCTCTCCAGGGACGAGTGCAGGGCCTGCCTCTGACCAGCACTCACTGTCAGCTAAGGGAAGAAATAGGAACACCCAGGTTTCTGAATTGGGCAACTGAGTAAAAGGATACAGGAAGAGAATGAGTTTGGTCCGGGGCTGGCTTACATACCTGGAGTTTGGGAAAGATTTATGGGCTTTGGAACTGGCAGGGTGGCGATATTAGTTAAGGATATGGAGAAGAGAGATTATAGGAAAAGAGATGAAAGGTATGAACACAGACAGGTTTCAGAAAACACTGGTATCTTAAGAGCTGGGTGGGGGAAAAAGTGATTTTTTTAAAAGTTAGTTAAGAAGGACTCACACAATAGTCAGCAACAGGAAGGAGCAGGGTTTCCAGATGACAGAACCATACCACCAGTCCTGGCCTTTGCTAACTACCGAGAGTGTGCCACGTGCCAGGCCTGTTCCAGTGCTTCAAGTAACCCAGCAATCCTCAGCCCCCTCCTACAAACGAGCAGAAACACAGGCAGAGCCAGAACAATAGCAGATACCTAAGCAGCATCAAAAAAATGGGGAGGTCTCTGGCTGGTGTGGCTCAGTGGGCTGGGTGTTGACTGCAAACTGACGGATCTCCGGTTCAATTGCTGGTCAGCGCACATACCTGTGTTGCCGGTTCAGTCCCCAGTTAGAGGCTGGGAAAGGAGGACAAAGGGAGGCTGTGAGGGAGGCTGTGGGTGGATGGGGCTGTGGGATCGGGAAGGGTGACGGGGCTTGTCCCTTAACAGAGCAGTTCCTTG